TTCAGTTCTTAGAAGTATGTTTACCATAGAAACACAAGGTTCCATAAGTTATAGGGGATTGGAAGCTAGCATGGCCCTGGTTAAAGGAACTGGGTATCCACTTCCCCAGCAAGCTGCTCAATTGGAAACTAAAGGTATTTGTAAACAGGCCAAGAGAGGATCCACTAACTTTGCTCAGGCTGGGGATAAGAATTCACTTGCTGCTCATTAAATTTACAATGCATAGGTTGATCACTCTAAAGTTTTGTATCGGTAGGTCAGTCCTGGGGGACAGAAACAGTAGAGCACGCTTGAGGGATGATAGCGTAGCTCTTTCTAGAGAGACAACCCCAGGCCCCACCAAGATTCTGCAGTCACGGCTGAATGCCTCATGGCTAATTTTGCCCTATGGGATCCCACACCCTGCTTAGACCCCAAACATAATTAGACTGAAAGGAAACTTGATTCAACTTGGTTTGGGTTGATAGTTTCTAGTACATCTCAAAGTCAGACTAATCAAATACTTTGCACTTTAACTTGGGCTGTGGACAATCACTTCCCACCCATGGGTTAGATGGCCTCTAGAGCTCACTAGCAGCCCCCTGGAGGATCTGCTCCTGGTGCAGATTGGTGGTAAAGACAGTGAGACCACTTGAAGATAGTGGAGCTAGAAGCGACCCACTTGAGTCTAGAGAATCCTCTAGAGTGATTTTTCTAAGTTTTACAAAGTCCAAGGAAGGACATGGAGAGGAAATGACATTCCTGGGGGGCTGTTTTGAAAGCCAGGTCAGTGACTGCACCCAACATTACTTCCAGGAGTAGTAGTCTACAGAGAACTCCTGGAGAGAGAAGGGGCATCTACCTTGTTCCCGGCTGCATGCTCCAGCACCTGGCATAGGTCTTTCCCTACAAGGAGTAGGAAATGGGGCAAAGGAAGTCCCTTTCATTTTGGCCTTAACATGAGGGCTAAGAGGAAGTGGGAGCATAAGCCTTGGGAGTTCAGAACTGTTCTATTGCTCTTTTCTGCCCTTGCCCAAAGGTTCCAAGAGCATGGTTCTTACAGTTCTTGTAGAATCCCAGTTTGCAGGGATGGAAATGGCTCAGGCAACTTCTTGAACAGGTGATTGCTATAGAGCTGTGTGCTTGCTCTCATTACAAGAGAGATCACTCAGCCCAATTCACCTGGAGTCCATTTCCCTCTTCCAATAGATATTGTAAGATCTTAACACACCTAAAAACAGTTTAGCATTTGCCCAAGTTACCCAACTCAGGCAAAGGGAACTAATACACTTAAGTCTAGCCTGAGTATTTAAAAAATTCTGGAACTCACTGCAAAGTTTCGGTGCTTATGTCACCGATTTCCTCAGTGAATATCAGCTTCTAGTTGTTTGGCAGTCCCTGTGCTAAGTGTTGGAACAAGTCTGGTCCCTGATGTCATTTATGGATCAGGAGAAGCTAACTCTAGTCATGGTGATTACTATGCAATAGTTACCATGTGAGAAGGGTAGTTTGAGAAGGAACTGGCCTTAAACACGTGACATCAGGAATGGCCAGAAAACAGATGCAGCAGCCCAGAGCAGGTGGTGGGCAGAGCACAACCACCTCCGGTGTTAGGCTGCTTCAGAGCCAGCAGGGTCAGAGCATTCTAGGGCCTTGGAGGCCCCTAGAGGTCATTTTTCCTCGAAGATACAGGAGGAAGGACAGGTTTTTAGAACTATTCAGGCTGTCGTGAGGCCTAGTTGATATAAGGAAACCTATTAGGAAGTGGTAAAAGTGCCCACATGAGGCAAAAAGCTTGCCCAGAACAATGGTGGTGAGACTTTCAAAGTGACTAGATTTGGTAAAGGAAAACGTGGCAGGGAGAGTGGGGTGTGTGAGGTTTCAGCCAATACAAATGGACACAGGACAGTGATCACTGTGGGGACCTTCCAGAGACATCTACAGCAATAAGTTAAAAAGTTTGATCTCAACCTCAGTTTTGGCCCAAGAAGGCCCCTTCTACATATTCCCACTGAGATGCCAGGCACTTGGTTTCAGAAGTGGGTAGAAAAGTGGCCAGGCGGGCTCACAGCTGAAAGTCACTTGAGTGTCAATGCCAACCATAAGGATACTAAAGGATGTATTCAAAGTTTGAAGGGGTACTACAGTAAACCCAATAGACTGGCCACAGGGGCTTTGAGGTGTTAGAACCCCCACCCCTGAGGCAACCCAGGTTTCCCTGGCTTCTCCCTATCAGGCAAATGCCCCACTGTCTCTTTTCAAGCCCAACAAATTGCCCACCAGATGTTTTCTAGATACTTAAGTGATTTTTGTAGCTAACAGCTGCCCCCATATCCAAGTACTCTGGAGCTCTGACATGCAACTTCCTAGTTAAGCTGAAATAAGCCATAAAGCCCACCATCCTGTCAGGCTTTCAAATGTTTGAGTCAATTTTTGCATTGTGGTTGCAGTGTCAACTCCGACAAGGCTTTATACATACACATGAAGGCTACCCACTCCCAAGAGCTTAAAGGAGGAAAACTATGAGGAAATCTAAGGAACCAAAGTGTACTAGGAGTGCGCATAGTTACAATACTTGCTTTAACAGCCTCACTTAGGTCTGATCAAAAGCTGGTTTCTCAGGACCAGTACAATTGTATGTGGACTATGTTTCAGGAATCTCATTTTGTACAGCCTTAACACTCCTAGGACCTTTCAGTTTAGAGAGGCACTTTTGCTTTTCCTCAAGAATGGTTGGTGGGAAGTGGGGGTCATCCGTTTGAGCCTTGGTTATGATCCAGCCAGCAAGTATGGAGAACAGGTGATTGCTATAGAGCTAGATATTTGTTTGCTCTCATTACACAAGAGATCACTCAGCACAATTCACCTGGAGTCCATTTCCTTCTTCCAATAGGTATTGTAAGATCTTAACACCTAAGTTATGTTCCAGCCAACAAGTATCACAGGGAAAGGAGGGCCAGGAATAGGTCTGCTTTGGAGGATATGCGATTGCTATAGAGCTACAGATATTTGTTTAAAGGCTGAAGTTTAAAGTAAGGTGATCAGGATAAGTGAAAAGTCAGTGATGAAGTACTCCAGAAAGTCACCCAGGTAGATCCCCTAGGCAGAAAGTTTCAAGTAGGAAAATATCAGAGGATCTGGGAACAGAATACATGCCTGGGATGTTCCTGCAACAAAGATACTGATGTTAGTGCAAAGAGGACGAAGGGACCCCAAGAGTAGTAGTCAAGCAATCCTGAGTCCCATCAGACCCTGATGGACTATTTAAAATCTTCAGTTTGCTTCATAGAACTTGGAGCCCCTACATGTTTAAGTCATTTTTGAGAGCTCAGGCACCCTAGAGAACAATGAGGTACAGGTGGAAACTCATGTGACCAAGGCCCAGGTGAGGGCTGGATTCTGCAGCAGTACCCAGCAGACCAGGTAGCAAATGAAGATGGATACAGCTTCAAGTACAACCAACAGGACTCAGCAGCTTGAGGAACAATGAGGATCACTGCCAGGTTTCCTAGCATGGGTGTGGGACTTCAAGTATCCTCAAGTGACTAAGAGGTCTTCACTTTAGCCCCCATCCGCACCCACCCTCCTTAAAGTCAAGGTTCGAAGCCGCAGTGCTTTGGGGGACCTGGTTTTCCCCGCTGCAGACTTAAGTGGGAGTTCTTTTTCTCCTCTCGCCTTTTTAGGCAACAAGCCCCGGTTTTCTTAGCACCCACATCCTTTCGGCCCTTAATTTCTTGGCTTTTAAGAAATTCTCGAGGAGCAGGGAACTAGAAGTACATCCCCTCAAGTTTGGGAACGATTAAGCCACGTTTGCTTTGTAGTCGCCCCGTCGAATTCAATAGAGCTTGACATACGCACGAAATTCACCAGCTCCTGAGAGGCCGAAGCTGGTGCCTTCGTTTTCCTCACAGCCATCTTAACTTTTTTAGAAAACGAGATGAGTCATACCCGAAAAGAAAGAAGTACCCTGTTTGCAAAACCAGCACGGGTTTCAAGACTTCTGCAAAAACCAGAAGGCTGCCGGCTCGGGAACGCCCGGCGCCGTCAACCTCAAATTTGGGGAGAGCCCACCCCAAAAACTCGAGAAAGACCCGAACCCGCTCCCACCACCGACCC